CTGACAATATATACACCATTGATGGCTACAGGTTGTTCAGAAATGATGTTTCCCAAGGTACGGGTCCAGGACGTCCATACGGTGGAACAGCTGTTTATAGTCGAGTCCCTTTAAAAGAAGGATACCCTTATACTCACAACGTCAATGAAATCGAGTTTACAATTATTAAAACAGAAAGTAATCCGCATCTAAGTATAATTGGAGTATATCGCTCACCCAGTATTGCTATATCACGTCTACTGTCTTCACTACGTAGCGTACTTGATGAAGATTCTTCTGCACAAAACATTATAATTGGACATTTCAATGTCAACTGGATGGTAGAATCTGATCGACAGTCACTCTACAATTTGATGGTTGTACAAAATCATTACAGGCAACTGATAACAGGCTTTACAACCGACAACAGAACGTTAATTGATCATTTATACACAAATTTAATTGAAGAGGAAATTGAAGCTGGTATCCTAGAAACTTACTTTAGTGATCATAAAGCAATATGGGCTTCCTTTAGGACATAGGAATAATAATTATATACCGTTCAATTAAGGTATCGCAAAGATAGCAAGGCATTGTGCCACTGCGAATGTTATTAAGGAAAGCCATTGCGCCACTCCCAGTGTTATTAAGACAAGCCGCAGTCCACTGCCAATATTATTAAGACAAGCCGCTGTGCCACTCGCAATGTTATAAAAATAAGTCCTTGTGTGGACGTTGGCTACATTTAGGTAAGTTTTCTTTTTCTCTTTTCCCCTCTCTCCTTTCCCCTCTCTCGCTTCCCCTCTCTCTTTCCTGTATTTATGTGTTTAATTGTTTTTTTTCTTTTTTAGATATCTTTATACATTAACATGGTCACATTAACGATAACTTCATTTAACAAAAGTACTAAAAATAGAACAATTTTGGTATGTTGCTACGTCTTATTAACATCTAGTCATGTCGCGGGAAAAGCTCGGACTGTATGGCTTATGAAATCCATGTTACATTATACATAATTGCATCCACTAATACCGTTGCATTAATATTTACAGATATCAGAAGTATACAATAATATGCCTTTCATTTGCTGGCTGACAACATTGGTGGATAATTATATTGAATGATGTATCATCTTATGTCAATGAATATTCCAAAATGAAACAATTCAATTCAGTTACCAAAGTTAAAACGTCTACAGTTGCGTCGTTATGTATTCTGAAAATTCAATGTGGAAGACTTGAAAATTAAGAAAGATGCACAGTACTTGAAGATACGACTTGTTGGATATTTGTTGTACGGGACATTTCACCTGGCTCTGACACCAAAACATTTTAAAGCGAAAAGCTACTCAACGAAGTCGCACGTACAGTACAAAGTCTCAAAGGAAAGTTAACGCGGCAAGGAAGACTTGGTAATTAAGAAAGATGCACAGTACTTGAACAAATACTTTGCTGTACGGTACATTGCACCTGTTCGAATACTCATAATCGAGGCAACAACGTGCGTGAGTACCTGTTATATAAACAATGGACTTGATATGCATCATAATCAATATCTTCAAACTTACACTGGGTAGAACATGTACTGTAATACGCAATAACACGTGTTCTATTGTCATAGAAAAGAGTGACTCGTCTTTTAGTTTTCACTAGCTGAATGTTCGTTATGAATGAACGTCTGAACGTCTTTTATATATTGAAATATTGACTGTAACCCTTACTCTAATTTCAGTTTTGCCTATACAGTAGCCATCGTCCAAAATAAATCTTATTTAATATTGTACAATCTTTGTTTATTATTATTATTATCAAACGTTATCTATCGTTGCATTAGTTTAATAATGAAGTAAGCTTTCTATAGATGTCTCGTGTTAGAAAGTCGTATCTCTGCGAAACCCCCCCCCCCAAATGGTTTTTAAGATTAGTTATAAGCGCGCATCATAAAGCCCGTTTTCCACTCACGTATTTCGCCGCCGCTGGCGAAAAATTTTGATAAAGAAATCATTTTTTTACATTCATTCGCCGCTGAAGAAATTTGTTCTCCTGCTACAGTTGCTTAAAATTTTCAACTTTTGTTTGACCTTTCGTTGACGGCGCGAAAGAACAACAAATGAACTTTTTCGGTGGCGAAATTTTTTGCCAGCGGCGGCGAAATACGTGAGTGGAAAACGGGCTTAAGGTTTTATTGGCATGCAACATGTACGCACTGCGTACCTATTTTTACAATTTAAACATGGTTGCGATGATGGTGAAAAATAAGAACACTGATAGGAAATATACTTGAGATTTACAGGAATCAGGGCATACATAGCAGTCGTTGTTATTTACCAGCATACATAGCAGTCGTTATTCACACACCCTCATCCTGTGCCCTCAAGTTGTAAAAATGTCGTTTTTTTACTTCAAAACGTTTGACGAAAACATGTCTAAATTAAGGAAAGTTTCAAGTGAATAATACGGATACACTGTCAGACGTGAGCTGCTTTAAAATTTGGTGAAGATTTTCCCCGTATGTATGCGGAAATTCCTACGGCACTGCATGCTACTGTAATATGTCTGTGTGTAAAATATGCGTATTTTTGTTTGTAAATTGTGTCTTCATTTCCCGGATAGCAAACATTTCGTATGTCATGAAATATTCGGAAAATATTTTCGTCATTCGGAAATTTTTGGCCTACACCCCCCAACTATGCATGCTAGCTACGGCCCTGACGAGAGATCTCAGTCGCATCACGGTTAACCGTGGTCGCATGTAGAGGTCGTATTACCTATCCCGAAATTAAAATAAATCAGAAAAATAGGTACGCAATGCGTACATATGGCTAGCCTGGTAAACTTTAACTCCCTAAACCCTCCCCCATCATGTAAACTACATTAACTACTGGGGAACCAGTAATGAATGCTACCCTCGTTAAATAAATTTCTTACTTACTTACAAACCCAGAGAGCCTGCCATGCAGGCTACCTTTAAAGGTAGGGTAGAGTCCGTATGTAAACAAAGCCTTTGTTTACATTTCGGTATTCAAAATATTGAACTTTATTCGACAACTATTTATATTTTCATGCTTCTACAGTATAATAAATAATCAAGATACAACAATCAGGCTTTGCAAGAACATAAAACGAAATAAAAACCTAATTAAAGTGTTTATATCACGGCAGGAGACTCCTATGTGCGCATGTGCAGACTGGACTGTATCCTATCTTTAATAGTAATAGATATTATTGTACAATGCATATGCAATCTCCATGGTGATAGGCTAAGAATCTACAAACGATTCACAATGTCTTGCTGCCTCCGACATTGAAAAATTGTCTGTGACATAACTTCTAGTATGCATGGCTGACCTACAAAACTCTCTGCAACTGCATGTGCTCTTGCATTTGCAATTGTATAATATATTTATCAATTACTGTGTCCAGCCCTCAGCTTCAGCAGATACCATTGTCATAGCTGTCAAGGTTGACTGCTCATCATGCACGAGACTTGGCACTCCTAGGAGGGGGGAGCTTGGTGTTCCAGCATCATACACCCTTCCCACAATGTCTTAAAATTTGGGTTTCTGAAATGACATTTCCAGCATTATTTGAACACATTTTTGAGATTACTTTTCTTAACCAAGATTAACCAAATACTAACAAAATTACTAAAATAATTTCATCTAGAAATGCAAAGTATTATCATTTTGTTTGGTACGTGGACTACTGTATACTATAGACATAGTCAAGGTTGTTCTTGTGACTACATTTAGCAATAGTGTCAAGGTAGTTTTTGTGACTAATAGAGCTATAGTGAAGGTACTGCAGTTAATCCCAGCACAAATGGCAATTGGTTTGCAATATACTTACACAATGGCAAGGTTAATTTTAGCCCTGCTCGAAGATAAATTCGAGCATAATGGTTCGAGCATAATGGCACAGAATAAAGACACACAGAAGGTCGACTCGAGTAACCGCTGCCACGCCATTATTTATGATCAAAATGCTGACGCCATGGTCCTAGCCAGTGCGTGTTTGACAGGCATTCCCCCCTGGATGTTTGCGGGTGAATGCCTCGCAAACGTGCACTGGCTAGGACCATGGGCGTCAGCATTTTGATAACGAATTACGGTTACGTCAAAATCATTGGAAAATCATAGGAAAAACCAAGAAGTCGGCCTTCTGTATGACTTATTCTGTGACAATGGCTCCTTCTTGGCTTGTTTTTGTTTGGTACGTGGCCTTTCAGGTACTGTAAATAGCCCTGTATGCATGGTCAGTACGAACACAATGGACCCTTTCTTGTTTATTGCATTTCTCAATTTTTGATTTGGCTTTACTGTATTTCTGATTCGATACGTCGACTTCATGTAAAATGCCTGATCTATATATCCCGACCAAAAATACATCTTTGACCAGAGCAAGCCAAAATAGCGTTGTAAATAATACAATATTAAACGCGATGCTAGTGTGGAAGTAGAAGTCCGCAAATGCCTCGAAATGCAAATGTACACTTTGAGCTTCCGTAGAGAGCTTTTAAGATCTACGACGCGGCCGGCTCAACGACGTGGTCTGAATTTTAGCTCAAGAATGAGCGCTAGGCAATTTCATTACGGTAATAAAAGTTTGAAGATTTTTCAAATAAATTACAAACTGCTAAGTTTGATTAAACGGTACAATGTTTGCTGTAATTTCGACTTTAAGTATAACACCTCTTGGGTCGCAATAAGCTCCGCGTTGCTTCAAAGACGCGTTAATGCTTAGTTTAACGTTGTGTTGAAAGTGAAAAAGCCGTTGAGAATACCCCTGGGACCACAAATTATTCACAGTTTTTGTCTTGAATGACAAATTTCTTTCTTTCGCAAGCGCGTCTTTCAGCCAGCCGCGTCGTAGATCTTAAGTTCGCTACTTTACGAAAATCCGGACTGGACAACATGACCATCGCTCATCGCGTTTGTGTATGTGATAGTGGCTAGCCCGCAAACGGGCTAGCCACAAAAATTAAACAAAAGTTAGAAAGTAACGAAATACTTCGCCACAAAATGAAAATAACGAAGTAAAACGTTACTTCTTAAAACGACTTCGTTCCAAGTAAAAGTATTCCAGAAAAAGTTTACTTTGTTACATGCTGCATGACTTCTCAAAAATTGTACTTAAGTACAGTAACGAAGTACATTTACTTCGTTACTTGACACCACTGGTCAAAATCCACTTATAGGAAGGGTCAAATGTCATGTTACTTGTCACGCAACTATCTATAATCAGATTTGAATTTCACAAATCACTTGGGTTTAATTAAAAGTATTATAAAAACCCAAATCAAACATTTCAATAACTTTCTAGTTTAACTAATAATGTGTAGTATGCGATGTACGCCAGTTTCATGTTTTGCTTCTGAGCTTTGCCATATTTACTTTATGTACAGTATTTTGTTTGTGCCTTTTTAATCATAGGCGTAGACGGAATGAGGGGGGGGGGGCTTTGGGGCTCGAGCCCCTCCAGAAATCTTACACCGGGGGCTTAGCCCCTGCATGCAGACGTTTTACAGAACTAATAGCTGTTAATGTTGTTATTTGTGTCTAAGTACCGAAATTTGGTATGAAAAATTGAGATAAAGTACCTGGAAAGCAATTGCAACGTACTCGTACGGAAAAATTTTTTACCTAAAAAGTTGTCGACAGGGGGGGGAGGTCGTTGTCCGAAAAAAATTTTTCAGCCCCTCAAGACAAAACAAAAACTCTACGCGCCTATGTTTTTAATAATGGATGATTCCAGCTATAGACGAAATTTTGATCTAGACAAGAAGAACGAAATCCATTAACATAGCTGGAAAGAGCATCTTAAAATGAGTAAAATTGCAAAGTTTGGTTGCGAATTGTTGTAAAATGAGGAAAATATAGCCCTGTGAAGCTGGAAAGAGTATCTTAAAATGAGTAAAATTGCGAATTGTTGTAAAATGAGGAAATATATAGCGCTGTGAAATTCGCAAGTCTTTGTATATATTTGCATTACGCACGGGAAAAATAACCATTTTTGAGCCGAAAGTGGTTATTTTTACCACGCGTAATACAAATATTCACATACAAAATTTGCGAACTTCACAGGGTTGTATTTTCTTCAATTTACAACATTTAGCAATTAGCAACCAATCTTTGCTGTTTTAATCATTGTAGGACGCTCTTTCTAACTGTGGTGTTGGATTTCGTTTTTCTTGCCTAATTGTATTTCGTTCTTCCTGCACTAATATTCAATCAGGGAGCAAGATCGGTCTTTTTGAACACTGCACCGATATCCTGCATTATTCATGCTTGATTTATATGCGGTTTTAATACTGATAAAAGTGTTAAAATCATGGATTCTCACTTTAAAGCCAATATCAAAGGTGGTAACCTATTGTATCAAACGTTGTTATCCAGTGTCTAAGCTATAAGAAAACGCCAGTTGCCAGCTTGTAACAAAAGATGCCATCAATGGTGTTTTAGGGACACTTTTATTTAAAAGGTTGGCTAATAGTCATTATGTATAATATCTATAATATCTTCTTCTCCAAGCCTGCGGTTTCCTTGGAATGTCAATTGCCTGTCATATGACACTGTGTATGTAAAACATAGCGCGTTTGTTTTCTCGAAAATAATGGTGTTTCAAGCTTACTGTTTGCGGTTGACAGGCAAAGTAAAGTAGTAAACCCAACATACACTATATATAATATCGCGTACCTATTTTTGAAGGCGAAGCTACTTCACGAATATTACTTATATTACAGACAAATGATCAGCGTCCGGTCGGGCTGGGATCATTAGACAAAGAAAAGATATTTTATACTTACTATTATAAAACAAAACCATAGGTATCGTAGCTCTTTCGTGGTAGATAGTCAACACAATTCTGAAACTTGAAAACATACCAAATAAATTTTATATCTGAGTACTGTTGACTATTTACTGCGTGATCGGAATCTGCGACAAAGAGGAACAAAACCAAATTTCCGTACTGTATATAATGTGTGAACATTTTCAATACTTCCAGACCCTACTTAACCTACCTAACACACTACTAGATCAGTTTGATCCACATACCACAGAAGCCATCATATACCAAAACGGCACTATTATAGATAAATCTAGACATTGGTCATTATTGTTATATAAGGAGTCTTTACATATACATCGCCAAGTAACGGAACTTAATCACGGAACTAAAGACTCTAAGGAACTTGTGATATTTAATTAGCGCGTAATTTGATCCACTTAACTTGTAAATATATATCTTAGTATTTTTCAATAGCGTCATTCCTGATGATGACTGAAACCTGGTCGAAATGTTATTAATTAAAATGTTAACTATTTTCGGAATGTCTATTGTTTTGTTCTTTTTAAAATTACTCATCTAATAGCAACCGCAATTTTGTACTGTATACGTATGGGGAAAATCTTCACTAAATTTTGAAGCAGCCCAGGTCTGGTCTGACAACGTATTCGTATTACTCACTTGAAACACTCTCCTCCGCAGAGCCTTACGAATTTTTAATAAAATTGCGTAATATTAAGGGGGGGAGGACAAATTACGCAAGGTATGATGGGAAGACGGAAGCTACGTAAGGCTCTGCCATATAATGTTTCCAAAATGGCGTCCAATTACAGACATAAGAATATTGAATTACTCATGAATTATTCACGGCGACAAATAGGCCGTTTCAGGATGCAAACCTAAAGTTTGCGGTGAATTGGTTTGCTCAAAGTGCATTGAGAACAACGAGGAAGTTTTTTGACGATGTTGGACCGAAGAAACGTTTCAAAATTTATATAAATAAACATCGCTCCTTGAAATTCAATGACAGCATATGCACTCTGGGTGAAACGCTGCACGTAGTGAAACAATTGTCGAATCTGCGATTAGAGACGGTGTGTAAATATTAAATATATTCTTTTTGATTGAATAAAAATACAAAGTATATGTACTATAAAGTATGTATTCATTGCTGTGTCCCCAGTGTATATGTATTTGATTTGGCACAGTGTGTACTTTTTATAATTTGCAACTCTTGGATAAACCTAGTTGTTGCAAGGTTGTTGCCTTCTTGGTAGCATAATAAATGGCCATTTATACCACCCAAGGTTTGTAATGTTTGTGTGAAATGTTTACATGCACTGAACTCTGGTAGCTTATATTATCAAAGGTGGCCTACAGTTATTGGGAGTATAATTTCTGTTGCGGTAACCCTGCCACTTGTACTTTATATGTCTGTCTGTCTGTTTATTTGATGTACTTTATACTGTATCATGGCAAAGCTAATGGGTCATTCCAGAAAACATCCATACCACCCCCAGAGAGGGACCCCCCCCCCTCCCCCCTATTATCAGAAACAACTTTGTCTCCACTGCAAAAATTTCCTCTGTGAGGGGAGTGTGGATCTTTTCTGGAACGACCCAATAAATGAGTTCAAAACTTTCATTTTGGAAATTTTAAAACAACAAATAACAATAATTAATTAGATTTATCATTATAATTGCCAGGTGAACCTATAGTAGTGACTATGGTAACATACAAATATCTTAATTATTCTACAGAATAATTCCATGGATGATGTGTCAATCTAGTATGAACTAATGTACACAGAATACAAAGTGTCTTTTGGCAATGATATAAATTGTTCCAATGATGCCATTACTGTTGCTACCAAAAGTTGATGAGAAACTGTTGAAAGTGGAAGATTGCCTACAACTCCAGAAAGAATTTCAGTGGATGGTGCTGTAAACTAGAACTTGGACATTGGAAGTTTAGACCAAGACAATAGGCAATTCCAGCTTTTAGTTTATGCGTGCAGGGATGATAGGAAGTAAGTTATCACAGTGCTGATTATGCTGAAAAAATAAAAATGGTGGCCGTGTAAACATGGAGTGATAGCTTATACTTGTAAATATTGAAATATTTTGGTTGCTTCGGTAGTTATTGAAATTTTTCAGCATAATCAGCACTATGATACCTTACTTCCCATCATCCCCTGCAGGCATAAACTAAAAGCTGAAAAGATATCATTGTTCATTGTTGTGGTCCCAACTGGCTGCCAAAACAAAGGCATCTGTTTGAGTTGATTAATTAGGTATATCTACAGAAATTAAAAAACAGGAGTTATCCAAACTGACATATTATATAGGTGCAAAATATTGAATGTAGCTCTGACTGGCTATTTCTAGCACAAGTATATCAGACCATATTTAATGTTATCTTTGTGATCGGATAATCCTAGTTATATAATACTATGTTAATATTGGTTAATCCTAATTATATGATACTACTATTATATATTTAGCAAGTTGTAACTTTAATTAGATTGTTGTTTTTATATGAAATTGACATTTCTCCCTGGACATTTTGATTTGATACTTTATACAAAAATATACTTGAGTGGATAGCAAGGTTTGTGTCAGGCTCTATTTGTAAAATAGAGAGAGCAAGATGCAAAAACAAAAATGGGATACAATTGTAAAAACATTCAACAATTACATATTGGACGAGGATGAGCATGATATCAAGAATTATCCAGACCTCAACCTTTGGCTTCGGCAGATAACATTGACCGGTCTTGATGTCATGCGAAACCCAAATTCAATAATTGTTTTAATATGCAATTATGATGATGTTATAATGGCAGGAAAGAAAACCTTGTCAGGTGTCTCATTAAAAAATCATGTCACCAACAGGCAATTTTCAATGTTGTTTTAGGTGGATAAACATTGAGGATTGTCTGTAGTTCTTAGCCAATCACAATTGATTCTTTTGAGATTGCATTAACATTGAATAATCCAAATACTTCAAATACATTCATTTCTTAAAAGGTTCAGTGGTGGATCCGGCAAGATTTCTCTAGGGGGGGGGGGGGTGCTGGGCGAGCAGCCAAGCATACCGAACCTAGCTTACTGGCCAACAGTGTACTGATACAACATTGATTAAACATAATTTTATAATTATATATTCTCCAATTCTGGTCATACTGTTGTGTGAAAGAGAAACTTCATGAACTTATTAGTACTTTGAACTATAGTGCTAGATGCTGCCTTGAATTCCAAAATTTAATTTAATCTAAGACTATTTCTAGATTAGATATATCACTACGAAAATATGTAGATTGAGAGAGACTACTCAGTATTATAAACTAAGAACAAACCTGTGTCAACTGTTGATATGTGAAGCCTTTTTCGACCAGGTTTACTTTGGCGTTTGGACACTTCAGAGCACACTAATTTATTTCTTGTCATCCTTTTGGGGCGTACTTGCCATTGGATAACATCCATCTTCTTCATCTAGATATAAAGTATTTAATATAGGATACACTGCTTAG